CCAGCACAAACTTCTTTCGATAATCGTCCCTTAAGTTTATCATAATGTAACGATACACAGTTTGAGATCAATTTTGAAGAAGATGCATTCTAACAAGATGAACTGAACCTGAAATTTGCATCAGATGATCAATTTACAAGAAATAAAGGATTTTTAGCAAACACGTGGAATCAGGACGCAAATCGAAGTCTGATCAGATTCTTCTCGACCCTTATTGCAGAATGAAAGTATGCTAGGCAACTCTTAATTGAAAACACTAAGTTCCAATTCTCTCAAAAATTTTGGAAAAAAACCTCGGTCAAGTTTGCAAGTAAAAGAAAGACATGCTTTAGAGGACTAGTCAACACGCAAAAAAAAAACGTTAAAATGGTTATATATTCAATTATAAGAAATTGCAAAATTGAAAAAAAAGAAATATTTGGGCAATCTTAGCATGCCACTTATTCGCAAATTATGTTTTGAAACATACCTTGATATCTGCCAATGTCTTGTTCGCCTGTTTTTCGAGATCCTCATAATAGGGAAGTTTACTAAGCTGCCAGATTTCTTTCTGGTACCATTTCACAGATGACGAGTTTGAGAACGCATCAATGTCGTTGTCATCACCTACATCGAATGAAAGAATTAAAAAGTGGAAGGAGAGCATATATTTTGCACTAATTTGCACTAAGGAAACTTGTAGGATTGTTAAAAGAAACTTCTAACTTAGACAGCAGTATAGCTTAGAAATTTCTCGTCTGTCAATAATCAATGAACTTTTATACCATCATCTTCATCCGAATCTTCATCTTCATTCAGAATTTTGTGCACATTCTTGCTATTAAGGCGATTATCTAGCAGATCACGAAAATTTTGAACGACTGTTCTATCAGTGTAATTAAATTCCATGCAGAGTCGTGCTTCACTATCGATGACTGTCATCAAACCTGTACCAAACTTGCATTTAGTGAGAAATGTCAGGAGGAGCAATCAATGAAAACGAGTTCTCATTTCAATGCTATTCACGATAAACACGAAGGTGAATGTTCATGGCAGGATGCTGTTAAAATGCATGCCTGTATCAAGCTAAAGTTATAGATGAAGTAAAAAAAAACTTGA